GAATTAGCTATGAATAATTTGCATAGCTACTTCTAGGTTTTATGCAGCGACTATCGGACGAATACCTTAGCCATCAGGTCGGCTTTTTCTATTTTCTTAATTGATCGCAATATGATATTTAATTAATAGATATTTTATTCATTCAGATTAATTGTTATGGATTTTGATTTTAATAAAATAATATTTTTTTTATATACTATACTTCAATAAATATTGAAAACATGATTTTTAAAGTGTGTCTTCATTAAATTAAATCAAAATTTAAAAATATTATTCATCAGTAATATTTCATTAATCATTTAAACAGAAGTGGCCATTTTTTCTAAGGCCGGTGAAACATGCCCACCTCCCAAAAAATTTAATTGTTCTCCTCTTCATCAAAACAGATCAAGCAAAAGTATAATTGCAATAATTCTACCTTGATTAAAAGCATAACAAATTATAATTCTGTCCGCAGGCGGATTTACGGGGGGGACTTTTGGGCTGAAGGCCCCCCAAAATGGTAAAATGTAACCATGTTTTATGGTAAAAAATATTAAAAAATTGTGTCTTAAAGTATTAATGCTCGTTAAATTACATTTAATAGGACTTCAAGAATCACTTAAACACCATTTCATATAGGTAGTTAGTTTCTTTCTGTTTTTCCAAAGTAATTATCGTTATATATATGAAAAAAAAAGCTCCCGGGCTGAAGCCCCCCCCCAAAATTAAATCCTGAATCCGCTAGTGATTCTGTCCATAAATAAATGAATTCCTAACTCTGTCGAAAAGAAATGACCTTCTCAAATATTGAGAAACCCGTAAATATGTGACCCCCTAAAAATTTTGTAGGCGCAACTTGCGCAATGCAACCCATTCTGAACACCCTTATATTCAAATAATTTAATAAACAGATAAGATTAAAAAAATAATTTTTTTTAGATTGAATCCGGATCGATCTGAGGCGTGTCTTCCATTGGTTAGATCATTATACCTGAAAATGTAGGTATAAAGAAGGATTTCTTTTTCGCATTGTTTTAACATTAATATAAATTTTAATAATAAATTGCTTGGTAATTGATATCTTATATAAGCTCCAAAATTTAGTCATTTTTAGCTCAAACTATTAAAGTGTCACAAGATAGTTTGATTACTGATATATTTCAACTTGAATGTCATCATCTCATAACATCAAGTCATTTAGTTGACTTTAGATCAAAACAAACATTTTTCACTAACTAAAAAAACAAATTTTGCTCGAAATTTGCCACTTTTTATATTCTGCTACCAGGAGAGTAGGATAAAATGCTCTTGGGAAAATTTTTTAATCCCGAACTTGTGGATTTTAGTTTTGACGGCTGCTGATGACACATGTATCCTATCAGTCAATAACGACCCATCTATTGCATCCCAAACCCTTCAATCCCATATCACAAACCTTGAAGAATGGTGTCAGAACTGGAGAATTAAAATAAATTCCAATAAATCCCATCAAATTACCTTCACCCTACGTCGTAAACCAATGACTTCCTGTCCTTCAGTATCCTTTAACAACCCCTCACTTATTCCTGTTGAACAAATCCGTTACCTAGGACTCCATCTGGACAAACGTCTAACTTGGAATCCTCATACCAGACTGAAACGACAAGAAACCGCTCGACGTTTCCGACTACTTCAACACTTACTAGACAAACGCACTAACCTTCCAATCAATTATAAAAGACTGATTTACATGACTATAATAAGGCCTATTTGGACCTACGGGGTTGAGCTATGGGGCTCCACCAAGCCTTCAAATTCCTCTCGCATACAGTCCTTGCAATCCAAAATCCTTCGTAAAATCCTCAATGCTCCTTACTTTGTTACAAATAAAATTATCCATAATGACCTTAATGTTCCTTATGTATCAGATTTGGCCCAATCCAGATATCTGTCCTTCCATAATAAACTTCATAACCATCCCAACCCTCTTGTCTCTAACCTTGCTTCCTATTCGATTCCTGATAACCCTCAGAGGCGTCTGAAAAGAAGATGGCCATGTGATCTTCTAATATAGACATATTATTAGAGTGCTACCAATGGGTAGTTTCTCAACATGTGTTCCATGTCTTTATACCAATGTGCAAATTTACTAGATGTATTTTTTGTATACAGTTGTAAATATCATTTAAAATAAATAAAATAAAAAAATAAGTTTTGACGGCGAAATTGCTGTATAAAGTCTTGTAAACTTCGATTAAATAGCGATATGGCTGCATGAACATATGACCTTAGAGTTCATTAAACCTTTTATGACTATAGTCATTTGTATTATACTTTATTAGTTTAGATAGCTTTTTCACAACCCGTCAAATCTATCTAATCTAAGAAAATAGTTAGAAGTTTTGATGAAATAGAAAACAGTGATTTCATACCTGTAACTTAATCGCCACATGTTTCTTGACTAATCTTTGCAATTTCGGTAAGAGTGGCAAAGAGTAAAAAATCATAAAGATTCCAACGAGATCCAAATACGGGAAAGGCAAATAGATAGGTCACTCACCGCCTGGGGCAGCCTTGCATAATAGTTTGAATGTGAACCACAAGGTGGCGATCTGATACTGCGATGAGCGGGCCATAACTGTACCTTAGGCTAAACTGTACTCACAATAATACCTAAATATACTTGTTTAAAGTAAATGATTAGGTTCATTGTAATCGGCACAGACTTGCCATTATTAGGGAGAGAGGCGATGGACAACAGTTCATATTTAATATAAAAATATGTGATATAAATATAAACATAATCAATATAAATATTTGAAAACGAATATAATAATAAATATGTAAAATAAATCAATAAAAACGTCTATATTTTTGTATAATGTATATATATATATATATATTTTATTCCTTATTTTCGGCAATGAAAACTTTCAGATATACAAACAATTGGTTTATTTTTTGATATACATGTTAACGTTTTGGGAAAATTATTCCCATCTTGACAACTTATATCCCACATTTTCATACCGATTTATGGCTGAAGTCTGATGTACTTCTTTGTCAATGCTAATGGCGTTTTTAAAAAAAACTATTTCATTGTACTTGTGTGAAAGAAGAATTAAAATATGAAATCATTTCATGGATGTTTAAAGGATATGATTATAACCTTGAATACATTTACTGTGGTTAAGTGATTATAGATCTGATATTATATTTAAATAATTAGGTATCAACGTTCATTCCGAAAAATTGTCATGTAACTTTTTAGAAAATTAAATTAGTGAATAATTTGATGAATTTTCCCTTTGTGAAATCCCAACATCATCATGTCTTCCTCTAAAGCACCATTAATTTGGTTTATGATAAATAATAACTATTTATCATTGTTTGGCGTTATGAAAAAATTATAGATATATCTTTTGGAAGAATTTGATAATTTAATAAAGGAGAAAAAAAGAAATGTACTTATCCAGGTTGAAAATGAATATTCGGAAATATAGTCACAAGGTATATGTATAATATACCGTTGGAAAACGGAGAATTAAAAAAAAAATATACAATATAGAAAACTGTAGAAGGTAACGGAGAGTGACGAAAAAAATATAAATAATAATTTCTAAAAAATAACATTATTATTTTAAATGAGGTGTTTTCAAGAAAATTAAATGAAATTTTTAAATGAATCTAAAAATATTTCATGGATAAGTTTATAACCTTCAATATCTTAACTATAGTTTAATAACTCTAGATCTGATACTATATTAAAATAATTAGGTATCTATTGTCCGTTTTTTTTTCCGAAAAATCATTATGTAACCTTTTAGAAAATTAAGTTAGTGAATAATTTGTTAATTTTCCCTTTGCTACATTAGAACAGAATCCACTTAACAATCAGTGTGACAACTTTTGACTGGTCTATGACTGGCTGCAAATCTCTCTATTCCGTTTTAGTAAACTTTGTAACGGAAAATAACAGTTAAAATAAATAACTAATAGTTGTACAATCAATATTCAACGGATCGTGCAATCCATAATCAAACAGTAAAGTAATAAATAGGACATTAATTATTTTAATGGTATTTATGATTTTTTAGCTGTAACTTTTTAGGTTTAGCTCATTTAAAAACGCAATTCAAAAATTTTATAATAGCCCAACTTGGCCAGAAACTAATTTCTATTTAAAGTTGAATAGCAAGTGAAAGTTGTGTGTTGGGCGCACCAGATTTTTTTATTTCTTGAGGTCTGCTTTCACTCCTTTAAATATTTCTCTTTAGTTAAGGGACACCCTGTATATATTTAAAATTATTTTATCGTTATAATTGATCGTTTAGTTGTGTTCATCAATGCATATTGTGGATTATCAATTATTAATCAACCGATAAATTAATTTTTTTTTGTCGATTCGTTATACCTCTTTGATCACTAGCGAATCTAAGGGGAGATGGGTCCTTTCGGGCTGAAGCCACAAGATAGAGAATATTTTTTTTATCGTTCCATATTCGTTTATGTTAGTGATATGAGCTAAATGCTCAAGTAATCATACATTCTGTTTTCGAATTCAAAGGGCTTTTAAATGTGCTTTTAAATATATGAACATGTCAGGAAACAAAATATTTTTAAAAATCTCAAAAATAATTATTGTTCCTATAATTACCGTTCTTTATTTTTTATTTTCCTAGGCTTTAGTTGAGGTAAAATCTAAAGTATCGTTTTATATCTAGTGGTTTTAGATAAATGAGAATGAGTAGTAATCGGCTAAATAAGCAATAAGACAAAATCGTATGTTTGAATTCCGGCTTGTGATTATGAAATTTCAATAAATGCATCGGTTCTGATATCACGCCCACACCTTGCAGGAGTTTAATTTTACGGTGGGATGGAGTGGGGGAGGGGGAGGAAGGGATTGGGGGTCAAATTATTTTACTCCCTGAGGCAGCCGTTAATAACGTAGTTAGCCGGAATTGAACACAGTGATCTAATGGTAATTTTTCTCTCGTCGTTTTCTATTTTTGACCGGCGTTTTCGTAAACTTTTAGGACGCTGTCAGAAAGAGAACAAAACCTTAATTAGAGGTATGAGAACCAATATGGAAAATGGTGGTTTGGAGCTTGTGGTCCAAATTAAAGTAATAATTCCAAGACTAAAGAGACCTTGCGTAACGTGTACAGCGCTTGGGGCGATCCTCGGTCGTGACGGCGAGAAAAAGAAAAACTCCAATGGGCAATTAACCCCCGGGACAAGAACGCTCTCTGTAGATCAAACAATGTACTCGCTAATCGCTTCTATTTAGTGCCACTAATGTCTATCTCCGCCCTCAATGTTTGGGGAAGACTTCTATGTCTTCTCTTCATCTCTTCTCTTTTATTTTACCTCTTTCAGTTCTCTTCTGAAAAGCGCGGTGTGCGGTAGCCTACGGAACGTGAAAGTGTTTGTCTTTAATGTTCATGCCTGGCATTGATTAATGGGTAAAATAGTGAACTGTTAAAAGCAAAACGAAGCTTAGTAATAAATCTTTTCTAGCAATTAATACACTATGAATCGAAAATAAAAGCCTGGATTGTCCCCTGCGATTTTCAGGAGGAGAAAGAGCTATTATAACTAGAAAGGGTTCATACTTAAAGAGGACATTGTAGAATCCATTATATTATGACACGTAAAATTATTCGAATAAATAATATTCATGATATTATTTTTATTTATTTATTTTTTCTGTTGGTGTATTTTAGTTTATTTCTTACCATACATGTGCATGATCTTTGTTAATCTATTCATCTAGTTTTTGACTTTCCACATTGCCTATTGCCTACTGTCGAAGTACTCATTATTGTGTAGAGGTTTTCTGGTGGATTGCTCCGAGCTTCATGACCTGCTCATTTTAACCTCCTTGCCTTAATACAAATCACGAGATATTGATTGACCGGTTTCTGTAAACATTTTTATTGGTCATCCTCCAACAATAGTAATAGTCATAACGTAATATTAAGAAGTATTTAGAGAACGAAAAAAAAAATACTAAGAACTTTAGATTTTGTAATAACTTTTTACTGCATGTTTTAAGATGGAATATTTTAAGAAACTGTTTGCATTTGTAAAAATAGGCGAAGGCGAGTTTGGCCAGAAAAGCTCAAAACCGTAGACAGTTTCCAATAATAGTTTTCTTACAGGCGTTTGTTGCCAATATAGTTGACGAATGATGAAATTTTATAATAAATTGACCCCTTAATTTTTCTTTTTTTGTTTACTAACCAATGACTTTTCGAATGTCTGGTTCTGAGTTTTGTGGGTTCGATTCGCTTCTCAGTGGACTCGGGGAATGAATTGTGACCCTCCGACTTTGGTAAGTATGCGGCAAGGTAGCCATCGGGGTTTGGCAAACAGGACCACAACAAGACCGGCTTGCCGGACAATTTTCCTCCACCTGTAGCAGTACCAGTGCCAGTGCTATTTATTTATATAATTAATAAATTAGACGGCCTTTCAACCAATCCGCGACATTGGACAATGGACTGCAGACTGGCCTCACTGAAATTATGTGCTACATACAGATTTATGTGGGATTAAATCATGACAAACCACAGTCAAGTAACGTTGATACTTCGGAAATACCCATTTCCACAGGTTTTCATCGATTTAATAAGTTTTAAGGTGATTTGCCAGTTTCATGGATTTTACCACAGACAGACAGATACAAAATCAAATTTGTTCCTTGATATTCATAACTGAGCACAAAAATATTTTAATCCCTCACACTAATACAAAACTTCAATCGATAGTGAGGAAGTAAATAAGTGGGTAAAATAATCATCAGCGATATCCGAATTTATTAGAAAAAAATATTAGTAATGTTAAGTAGTTTATATAAAAAAGAAAAATAAGATTAGGAACTTATAAAAAATCCTGGTACAATTTTAAATGTTAATTACAAAGTTGTACCGTTATTCGTGATATAAAATTTATTTATTCGAAGTGAGTGTCAAGACATGAATGTCAAGACTTGCAGGCCAATTAGCACTGATTGACATGGTGTCTATGTCACAGGAGTAGTATATGTCAGCAGGTATCGTTTTTTTCCAGCTCATATCACAGAACTTGAAATGACCATAAGTTATGTTAAGTGTCTGCTGACAACATTATTAAAAAGGTTAATGATTTATTCACTATCAGTAAATAGAGTAATATAAAAGTTATTTATTTTTTATTTTGTAGCTTCTATACAGCAGGGTCACTGGCAGCATTATAGTTTTAAATTCTGTCGTAACATTTTACTTATTTTAAGAAATCAGGAGTTTTTTTTTATAGTTTGTTTGCCGTCTTCAAACGTTTCTTTCAATGATGGTAGCATATCTATTTTTTCTCTAATAGTTTTGTGTTTAACTGTTCGTTGAATATTGCAGTTGTCGGATGTTGGTGGTTCAAGTCTTCTGAACTACAGTCAGTTGATCACCGATTTCAAACAATTTTTTTTTCAATGATACTACATTGAAAAATATTGGACATCTGTCCCTCCCTCCTCTTCAATGGGCCCTAGGAGCCGAGTGAAACAATTCCAAATAATTTCCATAAGATATGTAATTTATTTTTGCCTTTGCTTAGACTGGATTTTTAGGTTATTATATAGCATTTCCAAGTCAAATTCAACCTTATCCATTTCAAATTAAACCTTTTCTATTTCCAATTCAACCTTTTTTTTATTTAATTATTTTTAATTTTTGGATGTATGGGTCAGTTATCATATGAGTAGTTTTTGAAAATAATCTCCATTTTATGATTAGGCCACTCCGTTTCAACTTATTTAAGTTTTTCGGATTATATTATTATCCGGTTTATCTTATTATATTCGGATTATAAGTCGAAACAAAGTGGCTTAATCTTATAATGGTGGTCGTTTTCAAATTTTACGGCTCCGGACACATAAGAATGCACCTTCTTATCGAATAAATCGAAATAGGTACAATACATAGATATCCGAAAGTTTAACAAAAAAGCGGTAGTATTTTAAATAACTCTATTTAGGGGAGCATAAATAATAGACCTTCATATTGGAAAATGGCCCTTATTTCGAAAAAAAAAAATTTACAAAAAATTGAAACTTTAATTTGAAATAGAAAAGATTGAATTTGAATTGAAAAAGGTTTAATTTGACTTGGAAAAGGTTTAATTTGGATTTGGAAAAAGTTGAATTTGACTTGGAAAAGGTTGAATTTGACTTGGAAAAAAATTAAATATTACATGAAGATATCATACTGAAAAAATCTAAAAAGTTAAAATAAATGGATATGCAATCGCGTTATCACATTTTTTTATTGTATTTTCTAAAGCTATGCCTTCGATAATATAGCAAGTTGCTTTTATTTCGAAAAAAAATCGAAAATTTACAAAAATTCAAAAGTTGAATTTAAAATGGGAAAGGTTGAATTTGTAATGGAAACGGTTGAATTTGACATGGAAAAGGTTGAATTTGATTTGGAAAAAAATAAATATTACATGAAATTGACTATATATATATATTAATATATTAATCACATTATTTTTTGTGCATAATAAGAAAAAATTGTAGACTATTGTATTAAATGAGTTATAATGTATCATATATTACAAAAACCAAAAGTAGTTTCTAACAACTTAGGCCAAGTAAATTTTTGTATGGAAAAGCAATTCACATTAGTTTTTAGTTTTCTTGAGAACTCTTAAATACAAATTTTTATAGAAATAAAAAAATGCGAAATTTACTTAATTTTCTTAGAGGATTTTATTTTCCGGCAGATAACTAACGCGTACACAACTTCTCAGGATTTTCTCCACATTCAAAGTTAATACAATCTTTGAAAAGCTGAATTATTGCTCTTCCAATTCACACCGATAAACTTCAGTTTTCGTTTTTTTTTTTTTTTTTTCTAGAAATTCAGTTTAAATTATCAATAATTTTTGTTTATGTATTTGGTTCCAATTTGTTTATGTATTTCGGTCTTATACCATTTCGTCTAGCATATACAGCACTAAATTTCTAAAAAATGTTGTATGGATTGGTGGAGCCGTTCTAAAATTAACTAAATTTTTGTAGGTGTCGACAAAATTTTAAAGGATCCTGCCTAGGCAAAAATTTCGTGAAGAAAATTGTAGTTTTTCGATATCTAGAAAAATTAAAAGATATCTTTGAATAACAAAATAATAACCATAAAATAAAAAAAAAAACATTGGCTTGGCGTCCTTTATAGATAGCGTTGTTTGTTTGGAAGATCTCAATACTATAAAGATATTCCAAATTTGATGGGGTTTATAATATTGTCTGCTATAGAGAAGTTTCATCATATTTTAAAGTCCCCTTCACGCCGAATAATTTCATGACACCCATATACTCCACACGCTTTCTTAGGAAATGGAGTTGGATAAGAGCTCTACTGAATTTCCATCGAAAATGAGATTATTTACACAAGACCTAGAACGGTTTCCACCTCCCCCACCTCCAACCTCAGACTGCCCGCTACCCCGGAGATAGACAAGACGGGAGAGCCTGTGATCTATTAACCAATCACCTCGGCTCTATTATGTGAGCTCAGCTGTTAATGTCTGTCCTCGCCCGGGGCACTTCGTGAGCCTGGTACGCCACCTAGGAATATTAATGTACATTAGATTTATGGTTTATACCGCTAGTATTCTGGTAATAAGTCAAAACAGTTGTCGGTCAAAAGCAGGTGAGCTGTATAACTAACCTAATAGGAGCCACCCCGGGGCTTATTTTCAAATTCAGTCAGGTTAATTGTACAAAAATTAGTACTTGGGCGAGCAATTTGTTACTCGGTCGGGTGGAGTTTTGGAAGTAATTATTTTTTGAATTTTAAAAGCTGAGCTCCTTCATCTTGTATCTTGCTATTCATCATGCGGTACTTTGAACAGCCTTGTGGTGCATTCCAATGTACCGGATGTGCGACAACGTCATACGGATTAATCAACAATTAAAACTTCATGAACATAAAAAAAAAAAAACATACCTATATTTTAATGCCCTAGGTTTTTCGATTGACAATAAAATTTACTAAATAAGCCATTTTGTCTTCTAATTACCTATATAAGAAATATATACCTAGTAAGGGAAAGTATTGCAATTATGAATTCTTTGAATGTGAGTTTTCAACGAAAATATATGGTTTGCGGTTTTCTAAGTCCAAATAATCAAGTTTCGTTAAAAGACAAAAAATGTGTGTTAACAGTCTAGCTCAAAAACAAAAAAAGTCGTAAGAAACTGAAATTAAGTATTTGAGGTATGTAAATGCCTGGGATGATACAAGATAG